CTGCATCATCGTAGGTTGCAGCTTGCAGATACACACACCTGAACAGCAGACTCAAGATGGCAACAGCACAGACATTCTGATGCAGTAATTCAGAGCAAGAGGTGTCAGTTATCAGACACTGTTAAATAAACAAAATATTGCAAGAGTGCTCATGTTTTAGGCATGTTTTTATTTCAAGTAAAAAAACCCACCTTTGTGCTTGTGTCCTTTATAAAGCTGATATCTCTGCTACCTGGCATTACATTTTATGGCACACATGGCCCGGCCCGACAAGGTCTCATTTATGTCAGATCTGGCCCTCCTAACAAATGAGTTTGACACCCCTGTGCTAGTGCCTAGCTAAGACCAAGAGATGCATTGTGCAGGGGTGTGCCGGTCGAGGTCTTCTGTGTCTCTGCTGACCCTGGATCCCCACTCAACAACAGAGCAGAGAGCACCAGAATGAGTGACCCCAGGGGCCGCTAGCGCAGCTCTCCACGCCTCAACTCCCCCTGCCATCCACATGCCCCACAGGGATAACGATAATGATGACTGTTTGACAGGGTGATAACTTATAAGTATTACACTATGTAGGTGGAAACAGAGAGTGCTTTGAGCACTTGAGAGAATCATGTAAGGATACCTCCAGTATGTGGTTCTTGTTGGATATTGTAACTCTGCATGCGCGAGGATCTGGGAGGGACGGGGTTAAGAGAATCCCCCCCCCAGGGTACACTTGGTAGCTGGGCCCGGTCCGACAAGGTCTCATTTATGTCTCCTCTCATGGGTTAGATGTTGATCCTCTTTCATCTTATCGAGGACCTCTCTTCGTATTCTTCTCTCACCTGGACTTGGAGCTATAGCAAGTCAACTTTTTGGAAGTTAATCTGTTTACAATGTGTTAGATGTCTCTACATGAATATGTCATGTGATATGTGCTTCTATTTTTGTAAGTAAATTTGTTTTCTCTTGTTACTCTGGGAGTCAGATCATCTTTGCAATTTGTTTGAACAGCATTTTTTCCTCCTTAACCGGAAACACGGAGGATCAGGCATACTGTGAAAAAGCTTCTCTGCTTCCAAGGCAAATGATATATATTGTTTACATTTAACCCAATAGTTCTGTCCCCTGCAAGCCATGTTCACTCTAAGCGGCGGAGTCTTGTGAGCAAAAATTCTGCTTTGTGAGCTGCTAGCATTAGAGTTGTGAGTGAGCGATTTGGGTACTGCATAAATTAGTTTGCTCTGGAGCCCTCCTTCCTGAGCGAAGGCAAAAATGTGTGAGCCGGAGTCTAAAGAACTGTGAGCTAGCACACACTAATTCAGCTTAGAGGGAACACTGCCTGCAAGCCATGAACTTGCCCGGGCAATTAGTGAAGCCTCAGGCTGCCGGCCTCCGCTCTCCCGCCTTCATAAAGTTGTGGAGGAGAGAGAGGCTGTCGAGGGGAGGGAAACGACCCCTGGCCAGTGCTGCTTCACTGGGGAGGGTTCGGCTGTGATGAGATTTCCATCGTCAGAGACTCTTCTGTTCTTACATGGCTATGACTCTCCGCACTCCCCTGGGCAAATCCTTCCCTCGCCGCTACTCTCACATGGTTGTCCTTGTGAGGAGACCATGGAGGAGCGGGGAGCAACGTGGAAAGCTGCCTTGGGCCCCCGTCTCGGAGAGCAGCGGAATCAATCAATCAATAAATACGAGCACATAAAAAATATCGAAAACACTCCTCAAGTTTCTACTCGTGCTGAAACGTGTTCACAGCCAGGCCAAGGTCTCGCTGTGGTGGTAAGAGGTCCGCGTAGGGTTGCCACCTCTGGCTTGGGAAATCCCTGGAGATTTTGGGGGTGGAGCCTGAGGAGGGAGGGGCTTGGGGAGGGGAGGGGCTTCAGTGGGGTCGAAGGCCAGAGAGAGCCCACCTCCCAAAGCGGCCATTTCCGCCAGTTTCACAACCACTCGTCCAAACTGACAAGGTGCTCTTTGAATGTTTGAACACAGTGTTAACCTGTACTTTGATGTATTGTTTGGGTGAAACCTGCGCCTGCTAATATCTGACACAGTATAAGCGATCACACAGCAAAGGTAACTACCTAAGAGAAAACCGCGTGGAAAGGGAAGCCAAGCAGTATGAACCTACAAAAGCTCCGTTGACTAGGACTTTACAAAAAGACAAGACGTTCAACAGGTAAACTCAAGGAACCAACTGGTAAGTATAGTATATCAGTACCACAGGTAAACTCAGTATGAATAATTCAAGAAAAATTCAATTGCTAATATTTGACACCAATATGTATATAATGGTATAGAAAAATTTAAAAAGCACAAAAGAGAAGAAGAAGAAGAAGAGATTGGACGACCCCTGGCCAGTGCTGCTTCACTGGGGAGGGTTTGGCTGTGACACGATTTCCATCGTCAGAGTAGCAGGATGGAAATGACCTCTGGCGAGGCTGCGGCACAAACAACTGATAAATGCAACAGCAATCAGCCGAGTGTGTAAATCAGGGCCAGAAAACCATAACCAAAAAGGAGAGGACCAAAATGGCGGGCATTAATAGGGAAACCAGAGCAGGCCCCAGCCCTCCAGAATAAGACTAAGCTGGGCACAAAAGCCCGAGGAGACAGGAGTCGCTCAACCAGTCTGGCCCCAGGGGAGCAGGACGTTCAGAAGGGACAGTGCCTCCTCAGGGAAGGCCCCTCTCCGGGGGACCCCCATTCCACCTCTGGCCAGGCCAAGGACCCCCATCCAGAACTCAGGAGCCGCTGTCAGCCACTTCGTCCAGGCTAGCCGAGGAGGGAAGCAACGTGTGGGAGAGCTCCACCCCTGAACAGTCCCATCCGTGCCCATGTGCCTGGCGCAGTGACATCACCCAGTGGTGACATAATCGCGACCACGTAAAAAGGCATTGCATGATTTCCTAGTCCGATACAGAAACAATTTAAGGACCAAGATGATGTTTTGCCTATGAAACTGTCTGCTTTTCTATTTACCTTTAGATGTGTGCTCGGGAAGCTTGACTGCATGAATTGTGTCAGCTTCTCTACGCTGTCAGAACCATTATTCAAGTGCATCTTCACAGTGAACCCTTTTCCAAACCTGGGGGAAAGCACATGAAATACACAGTTTGTTTTCGCAAGAGACGCGCACACGAGAATGAACCTGCCCCTCCAGAAAACCCAGGGGAAGCTGCCCGCAGGAAAGGACGGACGGTTCCCTCTCTCGCCTCCTGCTGGCACAATATTTGGCATACAAAATTCTAGCAGTCCTTACAACATATGTAATCCCATAAGCATCCAATCAATAAAAACAATTCTGGTATAAAAGGTATGCTTGTTTCCAGTATAGAAATATAAACTGTAAGTATTATGTATGCATGCATAAAGTAATCGAATAGGTGCAAAAAGAAATGACTGTAGTATAAAAAAAGAATAAGCAGGATTAGCGGAAGGTGCTCCTGATTGATGTCTTGTTTGTCTTGTGTGTGTTCTTGTTGATGTTGGTGTTATGTATTGAAAAATAATAATAATTATCTGTAAGGAAATGTCTAGTGTTTGTGTGTGTGTGCGCGCGCAGGCAGGTAGCAGGGCTCTCCTGACGCAGCTCTCTCCAGCGGGTGACTGCGAGAGGAGGGAAGGTCATTCCTGGCCCCTTTATGACTGCAGAGATAAGCTCAGAAACATGACAGTCCTGTGTCAAACGAGACGTATTTATTTCCCTGCCCCCTGCTTTGCTGAAGACCAGCTGCTATGAATGTTGTTTGCTGTTTCTACATTTTTCGTGCTCCTGCGAGAAAGCAAAAGGGAGTCTTGGCTATGCTCAGCCAGGCTGCATCGTGGACTCGAGGGGACTCGACCGACCTGCTCTTGATGTGCTGCAAGGAGCCCAGGCACTGGAAGCGTCCATTCACCATGATGGCCAGCCGGGTGCAGAGAGCCTCGCATTCTTCCATGCTGAAAACCACGGGAAACACAGCAGGGGTCACCGAGGAGGGCAAGGACCACCTCCTGGGGGGGGGGAGGCTTAGGCCAGACACAGTTTCTCATGGAGACTCAGGGAATGCGGTTTGGATCCCTCCCGGTTTATGCATGGAGCATCTCCCTGGCAGGGCGCTGTGTTCCGGGCCACCCTCCACAGCAGGGCCCTGTGAATTCCCTGCAGCCCTGCCTTTCTCGGGGGGCGGGGCGGGGGGATACTGCTGGAGGGCCCTGGGGGTGGGCAGGGCTGCTGGTGCCTCTCGGGCAGGAACAGGACCCTCCCCTTAAGGGAGCTCAGCCGTGGTGTCCCTCAGCGCCACCACCTTGGAGGAGAAGTACGAGGAACAAGTGGTGCCCACCTATGGTTCAGAGGACATCCCCACCAGCCTGGGAAGCCCACAAGGCAGTTATGGATTCCCACCAGCAATGGCCACCCCCCCCCTCAGTCACTCACAGCCACAGAATCTTTCCACTAATCCCACGGGACCTTCCACAGGCTCCTGCCCACGTCTGCAGAGGAGCCATTGCTCCAGGCCCCCATTTTTATGAGGGCACGGGAGTGTGTCTTCTCCGCGATTCAGAACACACAGATGAAAACCCAGAGATTAACCACACGGCCCAGCAGCGTCCAGCAAGGCCTTCAGGATGTGAAAAGGTTTTCACGGGTGTGTCTGTGCGGGGTTTCAATCGTGGCAGCCATTGAAACACAATTATTTTATTGTTACTGGCTTACTGATCCTTCAACACCTCTTGGGTGGAAAAGAATGAAATGTAGAAATTAATAAATACACGTGACTCTGCTTAATTCTGAAAGCAGTGATGCCCCGCATGGCGGCAGGTTCTCCCAAGGTGACTCATGGGGGGCCCCGCCAGCCCCCGCTCTGTCTCTCTGGCCAGCCTTTTGCCTTGGGCAGTGCGTGAGTCTACTCTGCTTCCGGAAAGGGGCACCACTGGGTGTGGCTACAGACTGCAGACGCGCCACTTGGCAGAGGGGTTCTCTGAAGGAGGGAGCCGGGACTAAGGGTCACGTATTGGACGGGGTACTCTACCTGTGAGACGTCAGGACCACAGAGCACTGGTTCTGCACTTCCTCAGAGATGATTTTCCACAAGTGCCTCTTTGCATTTGGGTCCATCCCAGAGCTTGGCTCATCCTTAAAATAGAATAATTGGACAGTAAACATAAAGAGCAAAGCAAGGAGAGCTTGCGTGGTTTCTCTTTTCAGAGGCGGACGAGGAGGAAAAGCAGTCCCGGAGAGATATGAGGATGCAGAAGGCAGATGTACAAACGGAGAGATTTAGGGCTGGCTGCTACCGACAGTCCTTTTATTACAACCGTGGCTCCTGGCCAGTGCACCCCTGAAAAGTATGCAGACGGAGAGTGATTTCAGCTAAGCATACCTTTATTTAGTTCAGGACAAAGACGAAGGGACCAGCTCGCAGGCTGGTTATATAGGTTCAGAAAACCCGCCACCAAGTACACCTAAACACACCCCCTACTCCCGATAGGCTATTTACAGTAACCGGGCGACCATTGGTCTCCCGGCTGAGAAGCTGGCCCTTTGATTGGGCCGGCTAGGATCCTACGGACCCATTGTCTTTGGACATGAAGCTATTGAAGAGTTGTGCCTGGCCAGCCCGGGCAAGTCCGGGCATGTCAGGCTGAATACATTACAACCCCCTTGCTTTCTGAGCAGTGGTAGTTAGAACGAGATTCCTGCTTTGAGTGCTGGGCGGACAACAGACCAGAGACACGCCACCGAATGTTATTCCCCAACTGCGGGCATCCTCAGAAAAAGGACCGCTTGAACTGTGGCTGTTCGGGGGCCAGACAGGAAGAACACAGCTGGATACCTAGAAACCAGGCTGCCTTGGCCGTTTTGCTACTGAAGAAAATCTCCTGCCCTCCATCCTTATAGCCCTTTCCTCCACAAACACCATTTTAGGGGAGGGGGAACCTGTGGGGGATGCTTTTAGCATCTGCTGCAATCCTTTAGGAGTGAGTGCAAAAGGTATTTTAGGTGCCCACCGGAGTTTTCGATTGTTATTGTATTTGGACGCTGGAACAAACTCAGGCAGCATTAAAGTCATCGTCCAGCCTCAGCGCCTGCAGCGTCATGCCCTCTCGCTCGCGTATTTGCCCTGCGCACTCTGTCAATGGGGAGATTTATGAGAGGGCACCCATATCCTTAAAACACAGTGTGAGCCTGACCTTAAGTCGAGAAAAATGCTTGTTTCTCCCCAGGGGTGAGACATTCCCCCCCCCCCCCGTCCCCCAGACGCAGGGGGGGTGGCCAAACCTGCTTAGCGAAACAGCCAGACAGAATAAACATCAGATGTCTGAGAGCTGCAGGACATGAACAAATATCACACACACATTTTTACTGGGAAACATGCAAATTTGCTTTCTTATTAACATTCAGTGAGACTGTGTGAAAGAGCCCTGCGTGGCACCTGAGCTGCGGTTTGGCCACCCCTGGCCTCGGAGTCTGGGGCTCTGAACTACCCGCGGCACTGAAATCCTGCAGCAGACAAGAAATCTGGGTTAGAGGAGGTCGAGAGAGAGGTACTTTTCTCCCTTTCTCACAGGACAAGAACTCCTCGTGGGCACTCCGTGAAATTGCTGAGCGGTTGGGTTAGAAGGGGAAGAAGAAGAAGAGGAAGAGGAAGGAGGAGGACCATTTTTTTCTTAACTTGGGGGCTTTTGGGGTCATCCCACAAGTTTAGCAAGATTGACTCAGGGTGTTAAGGACTGGAGAGGTTTGTGGATAGAAATTTGGTCTTGAACAGATGACCAAAAATTTGTCTTTGAGTCCGGGCAGCTGAGAATTCACCTATTATTTCACGTGGTCCTTTGAAACGTGGGTTGCTCACTGAGCCATTTCTGTAAGCTTGATTGGGCTATACCATCCTCTAAGTCAGGGGTGTCGAACTCATTTGTTATGAGGGCCAGATCTGACATAAATGAGACCTTGTTGGGCCGGGCCATGCGTGTCATAAAATGTAATGCCAGGTAGCAGAGATATAAACTTTATAAAGGACACAAACACAAAGATTCACCCAAAGAGTGATTAACACTTGGAATTCACTGCCACAGGAGGTGGTGGTGGCTTCAAGCAGGGACGGCTTCAAAAGGGAATTAGATAGGCATATGGAGCAGAGGTCCATCAGTGGCCATTAGTCCGAAGGTATAGACAGGAACTCTCAGTCTGGGGCAAGGGATGCTCTGTATTCTTGGTGCTTTGGGGCTGGGGGCAACAGTGGGAGGGCTCCTAGTGTCCTGGCCCCCACCGGTGGATCTCCTGATGGCCCCTCTGTTTTGGTCCACTGTGTGACTCAGAGTGTTGGACTGGAGGGGCCACTGGCCTGATCCAACATTGGCTTCTCTTATGTAAATGGTAGAGGGAGAGAAAAATGGAAGGAAACCTAGAATTTGTAAACATGAAAACAAGGTGTTACTGATTTCCCTGAGGAAGGGTGGATGTGGGTCTGTTTCTTGTCCAGAGGAGGAGGAGGAGGAGCTGCCAGGTCACCACCAAGCCCACAAGGCAAGCAGAGGCCGCTTGTTGCCATTGCCTCCTCCCAGGGGGTCTCCCGTGGCTAACCCTACTGAGCTGCCCAGCTCTGACGATCTCAGGCTAAGTCGGGCCATTCAGGCCACTCAAGCCCCTTCCTGTGTCTGATTTCTCTTCAGAACAAAAATTCCATGACTCGGCCTGCTGAGCACAACCTCGGGCGGCAACGAAACGTCTCTCGGTTCTCTTGCTGCTTCTGCAGCGGCCTGCTCAGCCGGCCTCCAAAAGGGATGCAGAATCACAAATGGGTCTCCCCCTCCCCCCCAATCAAGCTTTGTTTCTTTTTACCAGCAGTAAAACGGACGGTTTCCCAAGAAGGGCCAGAGCCGTTGATAACTTCCTGTTGGTCCCGTAGCTGCACATCGATGTGATTCTCTGTCGGTAAGGCACCAGGTTTAGTCGATACAGGAGCTGAAGTACGATCTGTGGAAACAATTGTTACACAAAGGAAAAGATTAGGCACTGCAGGGGTCATTTCCTGTGGGAGCACACAGGAGCGGAGCTCCGACAGTAAAGAGCCCAGGGGGTCAGGAACATGCAACAAGCCCCACCCCCTCCTCCCAGCAGCCCTCAGTCAGAGCAAGAAGCGGCCAGGTAAGTTGCAGAGCCCCCCTCCAGCCCCCCGGCCGAAAACAGTCCAGTGGCACCATTAAGACCAAGTTTTATTCAGGTACAACCTCTCCCTCCTCTGCGAGGACAGATCTGCGCCCCCCCCCCCCATAGCTAGCAATCCAAAACAGTCCAGTGGAGCCTGAGTGGTGGGTGTTGCCTTCTGACACACTTCTGGTGATGCCAGAGGGCGTGGGATATGCAAATGAGTTATGCTAATGAGTTATGCTAATGAGCTCCTGCACCTCTCCTTCTGCGAAATGACCCCTGGGCACTGGAGTTCTGGTCCCGCTGGTGGACCTCCTGATGGCCCCTGGTAGTTTTGGACTGGATGGGCCATTGGCCTGATCCAACATTTGGCTTCTCTTGTGTCCTTAATTTCACTGAAAACTTGTTGTGATTAGCAATTTTAAATTTCTGTACATCTAAATCAAACTTTGCTAAATCTGCAGGTAACAGAAATCACAGCCCTCTTCATTTCCCTCTAATCCTCTCTTGCCCCAATAAGCAGCATCTACCCAGCATGCACCTTGCCTGAGCGGCTTCCCCACTGGAGCCTGCAAAGAATGCAGGTGAACCAAAGGGGCCAGGTGTGTGTGTGTCACAGGACTGTTTCGTAAGGGTGTGTGTGTGTGTACAAGCATACACCCAACCCAGGAACAGCCACCTTTTCTGTGTGCGCCTCTTCTTGAGCCTGGCTTCCACCCAATCCGTGTGACACAGGTACAGCTCAGGAAACTGTGCACTGGCTGAGGAGCCTGCCTTTCCCCTTTCCCAAATAACGGGGTGTGTGTGTCTATCTGCCTTTTAAAAGTAACGAAGCACGGCATGTACGTTTTATTCAACTGAACCGTCATCCATTCCCACCTCTGTTCCTTTTTTAAAAAATCAGAAGGGATTTTTTTCAGTGCTGAAAATGGTCGTGGGAAGGAAGGGCAGCGTGGCTTAAGGACCCTCACAGATTTCCAGCCGTCCGATCTGTGCCCCAAACTGGGGGGGAGGGGCACTTTCCGTCTGGGGGAGCCATGGTCTGCCTGGCCCGGGCGCAGGGAGCGCCTTCGTTGACTCACCCCTTTGATCTGTTTCTCTGGGATGCCATGCAGTCGAGCATAGTAATACATGTGCTCCTCCACTGTCAGGAGATCGTCCAGCGCATCTTCTTGTGGACAGTAGCCGAACAGGGACCAGTGTGCGCGATCAACATCATTCAAGAACCTGAATATGGCAAAAGAATTAAATGTGTGGCTTGGGGACTGCCCCAGAAGATTCAGGAAGACCGAAACACACATTTTAAAGTCCTGTGTAACCAGTCAGTGTATACATGGGGGTGAGGGGGTGGAGGGGTGTTACAGTGGTGCCACAGGGCCCTGGCCCCTTACCCCAAGCCCACACATCCAAGATCCCAACCACAAAGGGTCCTATAAACACACTCGGCTGAGGACAGGGTGGAGAATCTGTGAGAACAGACGGATGGCCCTTGGCGGTGCATAGCAGGAGCTCCTGTCCAGGTAGACCCTCAAACACATGAAATGCCAGGCAAATGGATTTCTGAAGCCATCTCCTGTTTATTGTCTGACTTGGACTAAGACATACCAGAGAATTATGTGTTATAGGCCAGAGAAGCTGGGAAGAGTAGAGAAAAATACGTCCAATTGGCTTCTGTTTCATGCAGAGATGACCACTTAATTTAACTTTTTTAAAATCACAGATACACTCTGCATCTATTTTGTGGTTTCCCTAATGTTGGTAAATTGATTCAGTGTCTATGTCTATCTTGTTTCCTTCTCTGATTGATTATGGTTTAAGCAAACAAAGTTAACTGAGCTGAACGCATGGAGAACAGAGGGACACAGGACACCACGGGCAGCCACCGCTAACATCCTTCGTTTCCAGCAAGAAAACCTCTTTGAATTCTCTGACTCCTCCTGAATCACGATGGGTCTGGCCTGCATCTAGGAGGTCTACAGACTTGAACAAGAGTCAACTCCAGAAAAGAGTTCAGAGTGATCCTTGCCAGAGTCTCCTCTCCAAACCTATCAATTTCTGCACGGGATTAAACAGAAATCCAGCAAAGCCGGCTGGTTAAAGACTCAGCAAAAGTTATTCCAGCCAAACCTTCACCAGATGCATGAAATCCTTAGCGGTTGATTATCCCCTGGCCCTCAGGAGCAGCATGGGGGGCTGCAATGGGGGGAGTGCGGAGGCAGGGGGCGGATGAAGGCTCACTGGTGGTGCCCAAAGCACTGACCCAATCTCGGTGCCCCCCCTCCTTTCCACACTGACCCCCAGTCCATTTTAGTGGTTGACCCGTCTGACCAGATATACCATGCAGGTTGCAGCAATACAGAAATCTATTCCTGTGATAACACAATAGACTGCACAAACTAAGCTTTTCACCCTTTCCCCAACTTTGTGGTGCCCCCTTTGGCCCTGGTGCCCGAAGCACCTGCCTCGTCTGCTTCATGGTTCATCTGGCCCTGTGCGGAGGCAAGGAAGTCACACTCCATGATGGGAAAAAGAAACGCTGCCCTGGACTCAAGGCTCCCTCTGAGCTGTGGAGTCTTGTGAGCAAAAATTCAACTTTGTGAGCGACTGGCATTAAAGTTATGAGCGAGGGATTTGGCTGTTGCATAAATTAGTTGGCTCTGGAGCCCTCCTTCCTGAGCTCAGACAAAAACGTGTGAGCAAGAGGCTAAAAAAACCTGTGAGCTAACTCGGCTTAGAGGGAACGCTGCCTGGACTTCTTCCTTCCTTTGCTGTGCAGAAAATCCCCCCTCCTCCATACCCGTTTTCATCCCGGACCAGCAGCCTCCCGTGGGATGGCCCGATGTCCCCCGTCAGCATTTTGAAGATCGTGGTTTTCCCAGCGCCGTTCACGCCAAGCAGGCCGAAGCACTAGACCATAAAGGGGGGGGGGAGGAAGACATTTTGTTATAAAGCTTTCGTCAATTCGTTGAGAAACCAAAACAGCCAGTAATAAAGGGAATTGGAAATGTGACATCTGATTTCATTTTTGCGGCGGCGGGGGGGTGTCAACTGAATTGGGGGGAGAATGAGAATGCAAATGAGAAGCTGGAAAGCAAGCAAAACCCTTGAGATGTTGAGGGGGTTTAGGGTTGCAACCAAGGGACGGAGAACCTTCTAATATTCAAGCAACAGGACTCAAGTCTGAAACCAGACTGGGGAGAGAAGCCTAAACCCGCCAGCAGAATGCTTCTCTCTTGTGCGGCAGCTTTTCACACCCAGGAAAGGTCCGAAGGAGGACGGACGCTCCCTCCTCCTGGACTCTGAGATCGGACAGAGCTCACCCTTCCCCTCCTCCCAGACCTGGGCAGGCTCATGCATTCCCACTGGGCCACTCTGACCCCTCCAGCACACCGATCCCCCGCCCCCGCCGTCTCGTCACCACCGAGTCCTGCACTCTGGGTGGCTGCGGAGGTTTGCACGGGGTAGGGAGCTCGGTGTCGGTGGCTCCCCAGGGCTCAGGCGTGGGGTCCTGCTGGCCTGGCTCAGCCTCAGAAGCCCCTCCCCGACAGAGGCTCACCTCCCCTGCCGGGATGCCGATGCTGACGTTGCGGACGGCCACAATCCTCCGGTGGGGAAGGTGGTAGATCTTGGTGAGGTTCTGGAGCTGCAACATGTCGTAGTCCGCCCGGCCCGCCGCCACGCGCTCGCTCTCGGCCAGGACATCCTTGTCTTCCTCCTCCCCGGCAGCCTCCCACTGGAGCGGCAGCTTGCCGTGGACCTTGTCGTAGAGGAACCTAGCACCCGAGGAGACACCTGGCATCAGTTCCACGCCCCAGAGGGACGCAGCCGGCGGCCAGAGAGGCCCGTGCGCCTGAGCGACTCTGACCCTCCAGCCTCATGCAGGGACTTCTTCTCTTTAAACAAATCTAGTCTCATCTAGTCAGTGGACTTCCATGAGACAAACATTCTCCCAAAATGGAGAAGACTTCCAGTTGTCTATAAAGGCAACGCGGCCAAATTGGGTTAAGTGCTTAAGAGGCTTTTGGGGGGCCCCTCCCGGCCACACGGATGGAGAGCTGCTCTTGGAGTCTCTGGTTTTCTTCCATATCCATTTAAACCTTTATCTCCTGCCTTTCCTCTTGGTTCAAGGAGGTTTACAATAATAGTTAAAACAAACACAGATAAAACCAGAGATAAAATAGTAAAGGTAAAGCTAAAGGTTTCCCTTGCTCGAGAGCTAGTCGAATCCGACTCTAGGGAGTGGTGCTCATCTCCGTTTCCAAGCCGAAGAGCCAGCACTGTCCGAAGATGTTTCTGTGGTCATGTGGCCGGCATGACTAGATGCTGAGGCACATGGAACACTGTTACCTTCCCACCGAAGTGGTACCTATTTATCTACTTGCAATTTCTTGCTTTCGAACTGCTAGGTTGGCAGGAGCTGGGACCAGAGATGGGAGCTCACTCCGTCATGCGGCACACTCGAGTCTTGAACTGCCGAACTACAGACATTCTGGTCTGCAGCTCAGTGTCTCTGCCCCCCTCTCCCTTAATAGATGCCTGCCATTCCCCCCCCCCCCAGCCCCATTCCCTAAGTAGGCAATTCTGTGATAAAAGAATTTGAATTCCCTGCATTTGATGGTAAAAAAGCAGAATGGGGCAAAACACACCTGGCGACTCAAGTGGCCACTATGAAACTCTCGGGGGGGTGGTCTGGAAACGGCCCAAGCGTTGCACTCAGCTGCTTCGCCAGAGCATTTCACAAGCCTGCACTGCTGCCGTAAAGCAACGCATTCAATAACTCCTGTCCGGTCAGCTCATGACTCTGCTTCAGCCTGTGCTTCTAGAGCTATATCCCGAAGGCCACTTACTCTAATATCTTATACCAGACGTTTTGAATGGTTCCATCGTCGACCAAGAGGCGGACGGAGAAAAACAGGGTCCCCTGGAGGAAGAGCCCCAGCAGCTTGGCGCTGATCCTGTCCAGCTCAAAGGTGGTGTCTGGGTACACCACGCCGTACGCTTTGAGGAAGCCCATCAGGGCTTGGTGCTGCGAGAGTTCAATCAGACCGCTTCCGAAGCAGAATTGTGGGAACATCAGGAAGACGTGCCTCAGGGTCTCCGCAAGGTCATGCAAGCCCTGAAAGAGGGAAGGGCAGGATCGTCGTCATGGTGTGTGTCTGCCTCCCCCCCTCCCCCCGGGGCTGGAGAGGAAACGGGGTGGCAGCGTATCCCTCAGGTGATAGCTGTGGAATCTACGGTAGCAAAAGGCCCATCGCTGTGATAGCAAAGATGGTCTGTGTGCTGGGTAAAGTGGGGCGGCATTCTGTGGGGTGCACAGGAGAGGTCAGCTGAACCCTCCCCCCCCCCTAATTTCCAGGCTCTGTTGCTTCAGGCCCCCACTAGACAGGATGTGCCGGGGGGGGGGGGGAAAGGCCGGGGAAATGGACCATGGGAGAAGAAAGCCAGGGAAGGCTCTGCTCCCCTCGCCCCAAGGAGCCCTTCCCAAAAGTAAACAGTCCTCCCTCATTTTACACATGAGGAAACCTACAGCACCCACTGCCCAGGAGTTCGGGGAAAGCAAAGGGGGGCCCTGCAAGGGGGAGGGCCCCCCCAGTGTCTACTGGCTCCTATTGCTTGAGGTTAGCAGAAGGACAAGATGGCGTCCGCCCGGCCTTTATCCTCCAGGGCCGTGGCTTGTAGAGTCAAAGAGGAGCCCTTTCTGGTTACCTAGTGAATCATTTATTCGTGGTTGTGAGTGACTCGTCACCAAATCCTGCATACTAAGCCACGTCATATATTACTAACGGCAACGTTCCGTGTATTACACCGGGGTCCCCCACACGGTGTCTCTAGCCCCCATGGGGCCCACAGACACACTTCCTGGCACCCTCCAAGCGTTTTCAGAAGTGGGTGGGGCCAGGCAGGGCTTTTGCCCAGCAAGGCCTCTGGTTGGCCATTGGAGATTTGATTGGCAGTGCAGTTCTGGCAGCAGCTGCCTCCACCCCCTGAAGCAGCCATTTTGTGGCTGTGCTCGACACGGCGTGTCAGAATCCCAAAGGTGCCCCCAGGCTCAAAAGGTATGATGTCACAAAGCCTTTCTGTTTGTTGGGGGTCAGCACGAGGACGGGGTGGGGTGGGTGTTTTGTGCCGCTGCTCTCCTGCGTGTGAATGCCACAGCTGCAGCACCCCCCACCCCCCCTCTGGGCTGTTTCCACTTCCTCAGGCTACCAGGTGGAGCCAGCCTTGGCCCCCTTGTGACATCATGTTCCTTGGGTGGCACATGACAGTGGCCATGTCAGGATGCGGAGACAGGGGGTAAGGCTGAAGCCAATTCTTCCTGCGTGGCCGGGTCACAAGCCGAGAAGGCCTGAGAAGGAGGAAACTCCCACCAGGAGGACTTGGGAGATGGAGATTAGCCCAGGTCGCTCTTGCAGCCCTGCCTCCTCCAGCACCGCTCCTCTGGCTTTCTGACTTGTCCTGTCGTCTCACTAGGAGGGCGGATGGGTGCCGCCGGGCCATGTGCCTGTGCGGCTGGGTTGCCAGGTCTCACTTGGCTGCTGGTGGAGGGTGAGGTCCTCTTCTTCTCCAGGATACTTCTATGGAGAGAGCCAGTTTGGTGTCGTGGTTAAGTGCGCGGACTCTAATCTGGGAGAATGGGGTTTGATTCCCCACTCCTCCACTCGCAGCCACTGGATGACCTTGGGCAAGCCGTAGTTCTGATAAGAGCTGTCCTTGAAAAAGAGCCATTCTCTCTCAGAGCTCTCTCAGCCCTACCCACCTCACAGGGTGCCTGTTGTGGGGAGGGGAAGGGAAAGGAGTTTGTAAGCCACTCTGAGAGTCCCTTGGGTAGTGAAGGGCCATGGGGTATAAATCCAATCTCTTCTCTTCTTCTTCTTCTATGATAACCACAGAGTTTTTTCTCAAATGCTAGAGCGTCCCCCCACACACACACACTATGTGCCCTGCGCGATTATGTCACCACTGGGTGATGTCACTGCACCAGGCACATGGACACGGATGGGACTGTTCAGGGGTGGAGCTCCCCTGCCAGCCGGCCATGCAG